AAACTCAATTAAAAAACTAGGACTAATCGATTTATGAAATAAATGGGATTGTGTGACCAAGTGGATTACTATTATTTCGCATCACTCAGGTTCTACTCTTGGTTGGATTAAACTTTTAATGATGCTGATTTCTACCTGCATTTCTACTGCTAAGTTGATCCCCAGTAAGATCTATCTGGTCCGGCAAGCCGGAGGAGCTGGAGGTCCGGAGGAGCGATTCTAATCAGAAATAGTGTGACCTTATGGAAAAAGCAAATATATTTATTTATAAAATTCGAAAAAGATTTTCGGAAATTGCCAACATGATGACGAAACAAGTGATCAGATTGCATCATTTGTAAATACCAAATGATAACAAATTTATATTTTATATATTGAAAGGTTCGATGAATTTTTCGTCATTCATTGTATCTGATACGGAACGAGTGATTATATTTTAATCATTTTGCTAAATTTATGAATTTCTAAATAATATTGTTGTAAAGATTTACAATATTTTGGGTTGGTTCACTGTTTGTACTTCACTAATGCTAGAGTTCTATTCTCTGCAAGAGTGAACACATCTTCAAAAATCTAGGTTATATTTGCAGTATTTCTATCGCCAAATGACTGCCTAGTTGAATTTGTTTGGTCCGATAAGTCAGTTGAATGAGTCTAAGGGAACTGGTGAGCGCTCTCAGAAAGCGGAAAATATTTGCAATATTTAATTATCTAGCTAAAATCCAAATATTCATCGACCCATATTTGTAGATCAATGACTGGATTGGGTTTCGATTTAAACTTACGTTTTATTGATGCAATTAAAGTATCCTCTTTTTATGCTATAAAACCAGTTTTTCACAGCAATTCTTCCAATTTTTATTTAACTTTCGCTTTAAATAAAATATTAATTTCACTCATCCCTGTTATTCTGATAATTTGATTTGACAGTGTTCAAAGATGTCGACTAAATTTACTTATGCACTATGCACCGATATTTCGCAAAATATTTTATGATAAAAATAATTAAATGAGCAGCGATAAGAAGCTTATCAGTGGCAAACTCGCCAATGGGATCAGCTTTAGATTTCTTCTAAAAAAAATTTGTTATGAATTTTTTTATTTAAAAAATTAACCTAGTAGATAATAAATGTTTATTAATTGTTTATTTCTCGCCAATAAACTCCTTTCTTCCTCTCATTTGAAATATACGCGATAATCTTTGAACTATCTTTTTAATAATATTCCAAAAAATTAGATAAAAATAGGAACTTCTACAACGAATCAAGGAAACAAATAAAATTGCTTAATTTTAAATTATTCAACAAATTGAAAAAAAATTTTTGGATAAAAAAATTGTGACAATCATTCAAACTTTTTTTTGATAATATTTTTTGACAATATTAATTTTAAATAATTTTTTATTTCGGTTGATTTTTCATGTTTCATATCACTGTTATATGGATAGAATTAAATAATTAGTGAAAATAGAAAATATGACAAAAAATAACAATTTAAGGAGGAAATTGCAGGAAAAATATGATATAGTACAATTCGAAGTAACTGTAAAATAAATACATAATCGCTTGGGAAAATCGAGACTTCCTGTATGATATGAACTTTTGAAATAATATCATAAATGATATTATTTATTCTTTCTTTAAAATTAGCTAGGGATGGCGCATAAGCTATATCGTTCATTAGTTTATTCCAGTAATTAATATTAAGAAATCATGAGTCCTTGGTTTAGTTTTGCATATAGGTTTTAATAATTTTAGCTCATTAGTTCTTATTGGATTCAAATTTAGCCTATAAGTATAATATTTTGGACAATCTAATTTAACATAATCATGCAGAATCTTATAAATTAAATCTTGTTTAATTCAACGAAATGAGAGAGAATCCAGGTTATACTGTAGAAATTTTCTTTTAAAATTAAAATAATTAAAATTGCAATCAGGAGATAGGTGTCGTATAAAATATTTTATAAATCAAAATAAAATATTTCCTTAAATTATTTTACTTGATTTACGATATTTCGGGGAATAACATAGTATTGTTATGGCTGAACGAATACATTATACATTTTTATAAGAAAACCTTCAATTTTGTTCTTAAACGAACGAAAAATAAAATTTAGTATATTTGAGGATTTCTTTATCATGATTCTGCAGTGAAGGTCGAAATCGAGATTTTCATCCATGATTATTGCAAGATTGGCAATGTGCGAGACTCTATTGATTATAAAAAGACTAGGAAAATCGAAACCTTTAGAATTAATATGAAAAACGCTGCACTTTTGAAAAGAAAGGGTAATTTGCCTGTCATATAACCAGTTGGTTATTCTGTTGAGGACCTCCTGCAGTGGAGATAGGTTATCCGCTCTACCATAAGAATAATAAATTTTATAATCATCAGCATAAAGATAAATGGTAGAATTTAGTACTACTTTGATATCATTTATATATAGAATAAAAAAAGCAAAAAAGCAATTAAAATTGCCTTGGAGAACACCAGATTTAACAGGTATCATGTCAGAAAGAATGTTAACATATTCCATATTCAACCTGGTGAAGACCTTTTATGTAGTCTGACAACCAGTTATACAGGTCCTCTGTAATGCCATAACTATTAAAAGTGGTCAACAACTTGCTTTAGGAAACAATATCAAAAGCTTTGGTTAAATCTAGGTATGCAACTGATACTGTTTTTCCATTGTCAATTGATGCTGACCGATGGGAAAGATTTGTCAATATTTGTGAAGAAGTAGATTTTTTTATATAAAAGCCATGCTGATAGGAGGATATGAAATTATTGGTATCAAGATAAGCAAGCAATTTATTGCCAATCAATCTTCCGAGTGCCTTGCTACCAACACTTAGGCTAATGTCTATAATTAGAAGGGTCATAGGTGCTTCCTTTTTTATGAATGGGAATTATATGAGGCAACTTCTAAATCTTGGGATTAAGGCCAGATTTCATAATGTCTGTATAAATTAAAAATAGTGGAAGACTCAGTGAAACTGCACATTTTTTATGAATTATTTGTGGAATATTATCGTGACCAGTTGAAATAGACGGCTTAAGTCTATTTAAGGCATCATAAACATCCAGTAGTGTTATTTCGATCTCACTGAGAGAAGTGCAACAACTTTGATTTACGTTATAAGAAGAAGTATGAATATTATCGTCAACAAATATACTAGAAAAATATTGAATAAATATATTATTGATTAAAAAATGCATATATCAGATGTGATAAGTTTATTATTATGTTGCAGAACTAATTGTTTACGTGAATTTACAAATTTTCTTTTGATGCAGGTCCAGAAAGAATTTCTATGAATTTCTATTAATATTTAAAAGTTGCTCTTCTTTACTTGAAAAGTAATTATGAATGGCACTAAGGAAATTTGTAAAGCATTCTTTAAATGCAGAGAGGACACTTGGCAATTTGGTTAATCTGTATTTATTATAAAGCTTCTTGACATTTTTTTAACGAGATTTTGGAAAAATGGGAATTAACCTAACGCTTTTTTTCCTTAAAGGGATATATTGTTGCATAAGATATAAAATGATGCTATTAAGAAAATTAACTTTTTTAACAATAGAGGGAATTAATAGAATAAGAAATCCCATTTTATTTCTGCGAGGATAGAATTAAAGATTTTATAATCACAACAACGGTAATTTCTAAAAAATGTCGAGGGAGATAAATAACGGTCTAATTTTAATGAACGATGAATGATATTGTGATCACTATAAAAGATTCCAAGATTACAAAAAGATTCCAAGGTTTTAATTTTATTAAGAAGAGAAGCAAGAGTAGCTAACACAACATATAAAATAGTGTAGTGGCATTCTTAACATGTTGACCTAGACCTATGTAGGTACAAAGATTTAGAAAGTCCTTTGCTGCTATTTTTCAATCAACTATTTTCCCAATCTATATTTAGCATATTAAGATCGCCAACAGTTACATAATCGCCACAAAATAATCTTAATTTAAATAACAGGTTGTAAAGATTCCTAGTGAAATTACTTGAATTGACTTCGATAGCTAGGTGGGCGATATAGATTTAAAAGGAAAATATTTCTGTTATTAAGATAAATTTTAGTTATCAGAGATTCAAAAGAGGAACAACCATAATTATCAAACCATAATCAAAAGTTACAAAATTATAATAATCAAGAATAAGCGTGATAAGTCAACCTCCACGAATATTTAAACTATTTATTGTTCAGTCCTTACGTGATACTAGAAAGCCATTGAAGTTTAATTCCCGATTATCTGTAGAATCATCCAATTATGTCTCATTAATACAAAAAATACTATTTGGGTTATCAATTAGTATGGGCTGTAGGTCTTAAAGTTTATATTTTAAACTTCTTGCATTAAATATATGAAAATTGATTACTTTTTATTTTATTAACCTTATTTGGCATGTTGTCCTAGGATGTTGAAGATTGATAATTACAAGTTGGAATTGAAAAATTGTTCGTCGTTGCAAACCATTGGCGAGGTTGTCTAAATTCCACTATTTGAAGATTTCTGACAACATATTTCTTCCGATTGAGACTCTGATTTCGCATGTGATATGTTCTTTTCGCAACTATTTATTTAGCAATAGTTCTCTTTTCGTTAAATCCTTTCACAAAACGCTTCCATGGGAACAACCGAGCCAACATTCTTATTCTGCAAAACAGACATAACCATGTACTTATCTTCAAGCCGAATCTTATACTCGTAGTCTGCCTGACTCCTTCCTTCCATGTCAACGAATTTTCTTAATTTATTCAGCCTTGATCCCAGCGGTAGATACAATATTCTTTGTTAAGAGCATATCTCAGTAGCAATTTCATCATCTATAGATTTCTTCGGGATGTTTATGCCAACTAAATCTTTTAAAAAACCTACGCATAAAGATTATAGTCATACTGAACGGTTAATTTGAGAGTCGAATAAAATTTTCTTTTTAAAATTTATATGGAAAAATTTCATTGTTTAATGAAATTCAAGAATGATTCGAGTTGCAAATAGTCGAAAATTATACAAAAATTTTTGGAACAGTTTTTCAAATCGATGCGATAATACTACGATGATGTTGAATAATCATGCAGATCAAATGGAGGAATCGGATCGACTGGATATAATAGATTCGTTACCCGATCTAAGGAATAAAGATATCGTTGATATTGGAGCTGGAATCGGGTAAAACCACAATCATTTTTGCCATGATCTTTTCGAAAACTTTTTTTGGAAGCAATTTTTCTTCTCTTTTACAGACGATTTACCACAGTTTTCGCCGAAAGGGCTAGTCACGTTATTTCTACTGATTTCATTGAAAATTTCATTGATGAAAATAAACATAGAAACGCTCATTTCCACAATATTTCCTATGAAGTTGGTGATGCGCTTCATCTGAATTTAATGTCTGAAAGGTGCGATTTTATTACTTTTATTTCTTAATCTCTTATCTGAATTAACGCAATAGTTAAGATCGGTCTTTTGATTATTTAGTAGGTCAGCACCATCTAGGTCTGTTGACAATTTTAGTCGTGCCAGTAGTGAAAAACAGAACTAGAACGTTTTTAATGATAAATATAGTAACTACTCCCTCTCCGATTTATACATGAAATATAACTTTTAGAAAATTTTGCATGAATAGTCAATTGATCGCAAATTTCGATAATTTGCATCTATATTTCCTCAAATTTTTTGCCAAATTCCAAATAATGGCTAACCTTTTAAGCGAACGCTTTTAAGTAATAGTGATTTCCCACATAATATATAAGAATGAATCAAAAGAAACCAATGAAAATGCCAAAAGTCGAAAATCTAACAATAGCAGAAAATATCATAAATTATACCATTTTTATAAGAAATATAAGCTTCTATAATATTTAGTGCCGATTTGGTGTTTACGAATTGGCTGATGATGTATTTGACTGATAATGAAGTCGTGGAATTTTTAACAAATGTCTTGAAATGGCTGCGGCCAAACGGTTATCTTCATCTAAGAGAATCCTGCAGTGAATCATCGACGAGTATAATTTTTTGTTATCAATTCAGTTTGTTTGGATTCAAGTGAAATATCCGTATTTGCTGAAATTTCCTTAATCCAATCATTTAAAAGAGACAAAAACTGCCAAAAAAAATTTGTTATTGAAATTATTTGGCAGAATTTATCGAATAAATGAAGAAAACAAATAAATGTGTAGTCAACAATCGTTGAAAGAATTCCTAATCAACGATAACAATAAATACTTTTATTTCTTAATTTTAGGGCGATCATCGAATAGCCTGCACAGCACAGTAGAAGTCAATCCAACTAGCTACAGGTTTTCTTCAGTATATATCAAAATTTTAAGAAATATTCAATATAAGGATCATAATGGTGAATTATATTGCTTTGATGTGCAGTGGTCGTGCTCTGTGCCTACTTATATAGAGGTGAAATATTTGAGGCAATAATTTTGATGCAGCTCTTAAAAAGCGTCTTAATTAATGAAGTGTTTTTTCTTAGTGCCAGGACAATTGGCGGCAAATACATTGGTTGTTAAAAAAAATCCCTGCACAAGAAACTAATGGCTATTCGATCGATTCACTTCTTATGCAATTCAATAATTTATGGGTACAAGAGCAGAAATTCTGGGACGCTGTACTAGATTCTGAGCCATATTGTTGGACGGATCAAGTGAGAAAAATTTAATTTTTGCATTTAAAGCATTTTGCAGAAACTTTTTCCATTTTTCAAGAAAAACATGTCTTCCGCTACCAAATCATTTATCATCTGATAAAGCAATTAAAGTATTTCTAGATAGTTGAATATGTACTTGAAAAAGAAAAAATAGGTTCCAATTCAAGCATATTCGTTTATAATTCTCGGAGAACAGCTCATCATTTTTATTTTAATGCAAATTATTTGTCAAAGGTGGGCATTTTTCAACTTTATAAGCCAAAAATAACTATTTTATTTAATTATAACTAAATTTTTTAGCTGAATAAATTCGAAAATTCGGAAATTACTAAATTATCATCGTATGAATTCGTTCTTAGGGCATGTTCTTCGTTACAACACCACAGCAATTAACGTATTTCGTTATTTGCTAAATTCTTTGGCGAATATCAAAAGTGAAATGTGAAATGGTCTGACCAAGACCTGGACACAATTAAGAAAGATTTTGAACGTATAGTGGACCCAGCAATATGTGGACTTAGATGGTGGAAAAAGGAATGCCTTCTATAGGGTCGACAAAGGTATAAAACCGCACCATGGAAACGTAGCCAGCCTAATCAGTAATGATGAGAGCTGTTAGAAGAAGAAGAATTATGTGAAAAGTAAGAACGATAAATGAAAAATGAAGAAAGAAATAAATTTTTCATCATCTATCTTTCCTTTTTTTTCTAGGAATAATTCATCATCTTTTGCTTGGATTGTTTCGCTGGCTTATCAAACCATAAAAATTTTGTCTGGGAATTACTTAGCTATAGGTCTGTTAATGAATCATTAATAGCAGAGATTTTGAAACATAAACTTACTCGAGGAGGATGGAAATCCTTCATCCACACTCATAAATAGCTGCAATAACCCACCGAGCCATCACATAATTTTAATGTTGCTGGATTCATTAATGGCTAAAATTGTTTAAAGTGGAAAACTGGCTACTGGATTGAAAAACTTTCAAACTTCCACATTGCTTCTCTTGTTTTCTAGCTGAATATTGAGGATTCTTCTTAAAAATTCCTTTTATCGAGATGTGCCTTATATATGATCTAATCTAATTTATCAACAGGAATTCAAATGCAATGTATGGGACGTGGAAACCAATGAGTATTTTTACCGAACGTGCTTGACACGAGCTAATAAATTAAAGGATCACCGTGTTCGAATTGCGTGGCATAGCGGCTTAGATTCGGCTATCGAATATTTAGAAGATAAAAATGTCTCATTTGATATATTTTTAGCTTGCGACTTATCATTTGAAGACAAATTATTATTGGAACAATTGAAGGTAGCATTATTTTTTTAATTAATCCCCAAAGATTCATAGTTCGATTCACATTTCTTAACAGTCAGTAGTCAACTTATTGAATAATTGCTTTACTTTTTTAATTTCTTTGCTTATCGTAATTTTACGAATTTAATCATTAATTACTATTAATAACTAATAAGCAGTTTTTATGACTATTGCGGAATTTAATTAAAGCATAAATAAGAATATTGCTATATGTCTTTTCAGACAGTTATGAAGAAAAATTCAACGATAATTATTCTCGAGCCATCCGCGACGAGCGTAATGAATTTTGAAGACACCAAAAATGTTTGCTGATTAAAAATTATATTTCTGAAATTGAACAAGAAATTTTTTTAAGAAATTTTTCAAAAAAAGAAAAGATGGATCTTATTACTAAATTTAAATAAAATAAAATAAGCATCTCGTTTTATTCTTTTTCTTTCAACGCGTTACATTACTAGCAATGCCAACTGCATTGGCTATAAATTTGAGAGTACATTTCCCAGTCGCTTATTTCAAAGCCATAAAATCTATTTCCACTCTTATCCACTCTTTTTTTTCACTCACTTATGTTGCTGCTGAGGGACTTATATATAAATTAAAACTGAGCGGACTTTATCTTAAATCTGTTGGTTTCATATCATTTGGAAATTCTATTTTCGTTTGGCCTAATAGTGAAGAACTAAACGATAACGATTGAGTTAATCAGGCTGATATGATAATTTTTCTGTGAACTTATTGCTTCATCATTTCGATCCATTAATAAAGCACACATTTTTTATTTCTGGGGCAGCATGGAGAAATTCTTTACTTTTTCTTGCTTTAGGCTCTGTCGCATTATCGAGTTGTTTTTACCGAAATTATAACAAATAAGTGTAACTTAGCAATTGCCGACTATTTTACTGCAAATACTGATCTCACCACTTGTTGCTGCACTATGGTAAGTTAAATTTACCTAAGCTTCTTGTAATTTTATTTGATTAATAAAAAAAAATTTGGAGCTGGAACTTTTGTGAATATTTGCTTTTTATAGTTTTTATATAATTAAACAAGGTATAACGAAATAATTGCATGAATATCATTGAAATTCGTTTAAATTTATCTTAAAACGAGATATCTTATGAGATATATTTGCTTCGATTTTCGATCATTTCCTGCAAATTAATGCAAAAATTTAATTTTGAAATTCTATTACTATGGATTTATAATAAATCCCTTTCACGATTTCAAAATAATGAAAAATATTTTCATAGATTAATCACAAAATAATTTAAAAAACATGAATATTTTTATGCCAAATAAATTTCACTCATTTTCCATCAAAAAGATTTCTTATAACAAAAAAACTATTTTTTTTTTGCTTTAAATGTTTGTCTTATAGCAAAAAATTCCATTTAAATTCCATAAAAGATTTCATAAAATCTTTTTCTTAAGGCGAATTTCCTTATGAAATTCTTCAAAATCTCATATTTACTTTAATATAAATTTTTGTAGACATAAATATTTAATGTGATTTCCTTATTAATATAAATAATGGGTGAATGGCTTGGACTATTGCTCTCACTTCAGAAAGCCGATATTCCATTCTTATGTGAGGGTAAACCTGTCTTTAAAAAATCTGTGTAATTTTAGCTATCTATCTATTTATATTCCTGTCACCTCTCCAAATTCTTTCGCGAAGAATTTTGTCTAGTTAGTTCGACAAGCCAGCAGAGCTTAAACAGATGCTAAACTAGAAATGGCTCCCAGAAAAAAAGAATGTGAATAACAAATAAATTAATGTTATTTAATATGTCATTTAATATTTAATATCTTCAAATATTTTTATTTTTATTTTATATTATTTCCATTTAATATTTAGCACAATTTTTTACCAGAAAACTTATAAGATTTGCAAAATAATAAAATATAATATTTTCAGGATGAAATATCGAAAATTAACTGTTGGTGTCTTATAAAAGCGAAATTTTGATAAATTGAAGATATTCGAACAAATTTTCGTTCTGTTAAAAAGTAAATTAATATATATTTTAGACAGGATAATTTTGTATTTTAATATTTTTTTTGTGTTTATTTATTATATTTTATTATTCTTGATGTTTTCATTTTATATTTAAATCCATCCGTAACACCATTTTCCATTTTCGTATTATTTTTTTTTACCCTACGATTTTATAATCCAAATCGCATGGCTATCAGCTCTGTTTGAAGAAAGAAAGAAATGAATATAATATTTCTTTAAATGGTTTCATCATTTCATTAACATCAATCATCTCAAATTAATTTTTCTTCGATGATTTTGAAAATTAATCATCGGAAAAAAAGTTTATGTGGATCGCAATTTTTTTCGTAATATTTAATGGAAAATAAAATTAATTAATTATTTTAATTTAAATTAATTGTTAATAATTTGCTAATTAATTAGTTGAATATTTTTTTAATAATCTAAAAAATAAAATGTTTGCTTTCATAAAATTTATATCGATTAATATTGTCTCATTAATTTTACCTTATTGTTTTGACTGAAAATATTTTCAGCTTCATCGGCAATTTCTTCTGGATTAATCGTAACGAGTTTGAAGGCGGGCTGAAGTCCTTCGAAAATTTTGCCTCATTTCTATATTCTTTTTTTCATCTTAACCACTAAATTTTTCTTGTATATTGTTGAAAATTTATAATTAATCAGCTGAATGATAATTTATTTGGCCTCTTATTTAACCTCACCTTACTGCTTGGCCTAAAATTCGAAAACCCATCTTAGTAATTTTGTCAAGTATGAGAGACCATACCTAAGAGGCGATGCATAGGTTCTCGCAGGGTGCTTGGGTGCTTTTTTTCAAAGCAAAGCTGTAGCAGTGATATCGTTTATATCAACAAATATTAATTTATTATTCATTTATATAAATACTTTTATGAATTTTTGGCTTGTGCATTATCTGTGAATTTTTCGCAAATTTCGGAAAATGTTCAATTAAGGCAAAATAACGAGAATTGCATTTAGACGAGTGAGCGAATATTGAAGATGAATGAATGAAGATATCTTTTTATTCATAGGTCCATTAATTTTCACTCATCCATGTTATTTATAAAAAATTTTTTCTCAATAAAGTTAATCGTTATTACGCATGCAAATACTATAAAATAATTTGCAATATTACTTCAAAAACTTCTGAAAATTCCAATTCAGTTCGCATAACTCGAAAAAACAATTTTAAAAAAATGCAGTTATTCCATAAATTAGTGAAAAATTTACCGATTTCACTGGAATTTTATCAATTTCTAATTCAATTAAATGTTGTGGTAATGGAAAATTATCAAAAATTATATTTCATTATAATTATCGGAAGAAATATAATCGAAATTATTGAAAGAAATCAATTTCTATAGAAAAATTCTCTCGAATAAATCGCTGAATAAATCGAAAAATTTCATGAATTTTTGTTAGTGAATTAAAAATTTCTTAAGAAAAAACAATCGCTTTTTTCTTAATTTTTTAGTTTTAAAGCCCATTAAGCCTTAAAACTTGTTAGGCGAAAATTTTAATCGTATGTTATAATGAAATAAAGTTATCAGCACTGAGAAATTTCATTAAGAGTCATAATTAAAATTTATGAGGATTAAAGAATTGCTAAAAATGGCTTAAATATCATTTAAATATGTCTTACTTATTGCTAATTATACTTTTTTGCTGGAATTATGTTAAATTTTTAGAAATATTATTCAATTTTTTATTAATTTTATTGCAGAATTTGATTAATTAAGTTTTTTTAAATTAACTTGTATTAGTATTTTTTAAATTTTTTCCATAAAAATGTTCCTTAATTTAATGAATAAATGAATAAGTGAGGAAAGCTTTTTTCTCTTTTTTTAATAGTAAATTATCACAATTTATCGAAAAAGAGAAGCGGTTAAAAAGAATCGATGACTACGGTTTGCAGTTTTTATTGTTTGCTGAAGCGTATAAATTTCTGATTATTATTCGATAGCTTCACGCATCACATATGTATAAAATATATATTTAATGTTTAGCTCACTGCAAGGAATGGGAACAATGAATGAATTTTTGAACAAAACAGCAAATGAAAAATTGAATTCAAGCGAAAAGTCGTATTTTAGTAAAAGTTATTATAAAATATATAATTATTATTACATTTATTATAAATACTGAAATAATTATTATTAATAATTATTATGTTATTAAAAATTGTAGGTAAAATTCTATGCATTATAAATCAAATATAAGCAAAACAAGGAAGAAAGAGCAAACAAGAAAATTTTAAAAAATCTATACTTTTTTTTTACTAAGAGTGAAACCAGATTGAGTATTTAGAATGATTTGGTGGGTTATTGCTCCTATTTCAGAGCAGGAATTGTGGAGTAAATCTGGTGAATGCTAGTTCTGGCACTTCTACTTCCAAGTAACTCCGCGACAAATTTCTAACTGGATAATTACTCAGTGAAACGAGACGAATTAAAAACGGTGGACTATCTTAGAAAAACAAGGAATATTTAGAATTAATAAAATGAAATTTGAATATGAATAAATGAAGTTCTTATTTTAATAAGCACTTTATCTAATAATGTAAATATTTTTGTAAAATAAAAGTAAGATTTGTGTGAGCATACGGGTTTTTTAATTTAGCTCATCGAACTCATCGCTAAGTTGCGTCAAATGATACTATGCTTAATCATTCAGACTGGGGTTATTCAAACTGTGCTTATAACGACAATTCTTTGGGCATTTAATCTAGAGGCTTTACCTCACAGAAACCTTTGGAGTCATTTTGTACTGTTTCGTTAACGTTTCCATCATCACAGGGCGTAAGGAAAATCCATAGAAAGAGAGAATCAAGCTTATATATTTAAAATTCAGGGTTCAGATTTTTTTCAAATAGCAAGAATCTCTGCTGCCACAACCTATTTATCAAACGTCATCACCAAATCAAGTAATTTCTTTTCAGAAGTATTGGAAAAATTTTTTCTATTTTTTTCTGGATTATTTCTTTCACATTGTTAACGAAAATAATGATACGTTAATTTATTTATGAATTTGTTCAATTTTTTTTCTTAATTTATAAAGTACAAAAAATTAAAAATTCAAATATCGCTGATGCATAATAAACAAATAGTAATATAACGAATAAATAGTTTAAGCTAGAAATCGCTAGTGTTTTATATAAAATCTTCTTAATCCATTTTTGTAATGAGATTTATTCAAAAATATAAAAATATATAAACTGGGAGTATGAGAAATAGAAAATCTCGATAATGCTGTCTTATTTGATATTAGTCCGGGGATTTCACCTTACAGAAACCTTTGGATTCCATCTTACAGAAATCTTCACTGCTTCGTTACTGTCTTCATCACATTGGATTCCATCTTACAGAAATCTTCACTGCTTCGTTACTGTCTTCATCACAGAATGTGTATACTACGAACTGAGCTTGTTAAAGATATTTGTTGTGGCCGAAATAAAGATAGCAAGTTAGTGTGGCTCAGTGCACAAGTAAAATTGGTTAGCACTCACCATTTCCACTATCTTTAGACTATCTTTTCTGGCTGTTTGTAGGGTTAGGAATTTTTTGCCAGGGAGTTATTTTATTATTTTGTTAGAAATATAGATGAGTCGTCAGGTTTTCTAAATACAAGTTTGCAGGACATAAGGTTCCGCTGCAGCAATTGCACGCAAAAATCCTTTCGAATTTAAGTTTAAGTGGAATCAAGCAATTTTACTTGGATGAGAATAAATCAGCCAAAAGAATGTAATAGTACTTGAATCCTTAAATAAATTTCTAGCACTGAAGCCAATGGTACCACAATTAGAGGAATAATGTGCTAGTAGAAGTGGAAAAAAAAGAGTTGGAAATGGATCTTATTTGCAGATTTTTTCTTTGCCTTTTGCCATTCAGTGTTTCCATGTATCATTTATGCATTTATTTGCCGGACAAATTTTCTTGTACTCATATAGTAGCTTATTTACTTAATGGTTTTTCTTTCCATCATCGAACTTTAATTGTTTTTTATGCTCAGACTTTATACCAACACTTAACTTTATACCATTAAGTTTTTTTGTGTAAATCAAGATTGGTGACCGATCAAAGATGTTTCCATTTTGTTTTGATTATTCAGATACGATCGTCTTTATCCATTAATCATTGTTTAGAAAATATTAGATTTTTTTAGAAAATATGCGAGGATAGAAGGGGAATTTTTTGGCGAAAAGAAGAGCTGTTAAGCAGAGTCCTATAAGTTAAAATATAATTTTTATAAATTTTGTTCTCTCAAATTTTTTCATTTCAGTTGAAGTAGCTGTTACCCTTAAAGTTGATTTCACTTTGCAAAATTCCATTACAAAAAAGGGTAATTTGTTTGCATGTCGTGTTAGCTATTCGTTGAACTTTTCATTTTCATGCATCTCAATAATGTCAATTTTCTCCATTCTTTTTACATTTCTTTTGTGCGTTACATGGAAATGTTTCACAAAGCTGCGCCTATATTATTTATTATTTACACATCTAAAATAAATTTTGGACCTTCCTTTAAATGGTAAAAAGGACAAAACAAGAATTATGCAGATAAGGTAATTAGATATTCAAAATGCTATAATTTCTTTAAATTTGTCCATGACTGTTAAAAAAGCAGAAATGAAATGCATCGATTTTGGCAGAACTTTTTTTTAGACAAATTTTTTTCCTCTTTCGAATATTGGTGGAAATAATAGATTTTCTATAAAGACGATAATGAAATGGAATGATGTGAAAAATTAGTGAATTCAACTGAAAAAAAGATTTTAAATGGTTACTCAGTTCAGTTTAAACGGGTAATACTGGTAGTTCACCTGCTATCGCCAAAGGACTCTCTGGCATATTCTAGTCAGATAAGCCAGCGGAGAGAGCCTGACCAGCAATGGTTCTTTTAAAAAAACTAGTTCAATAAGGTTTCCTTCCGTCATTATGCATAATTTTATTGATATGATCCACTTTATTGTTTTATTGTTATCAAAGTTATTTAAATCTCAATTTAGCGTGAAGTGTTGTTGCATTCGATGTAATTTTTTTGCGAATTTTAAATTTCTTAAAAAGAATTTCTCTAAATTGCCTTTAATTTTTCGACTATCTGATTACAATGCGTTCTTTTCTTTATAAAATTTTATAGTTCGGTAGAGAACGTGTAATACGCGTTTGATTTACGTCAGAATTTGACAGAAATGAAACTTTCCTCAATGAAATTCTGAATTTCAAATTTATGAGAGAATTTTTTTATATTAAAAGAAATTTAAATTGCCATTTCATAGGATCGTTGAGCGATATTTTAGTGGCATCATTATTAATTTGTCTGAAATAATTTTTTTGTTTCACCAATCCATAATTAAAAGTCGCTACGTTACTTATTATTTGCTTATTACTTACTTATTATTTACTTAATTACTACTTATTACTTACTTATTACTTATTATTATGCGTTCTGCGTTTGATCTCAAATGATCTCATTTCTCTGTAATCCGTCGGTGAATTTACTCATTTCCACTTTTCTTGCTCTTTCTTTATAAGCTTTTTTTGCATTTTCTAATTTCTTAATTTACTTCTAAGTAATTATCGCTAAAAGTTGTCGAGCAAGTTGCTTCTAAATTGAGCTACTCTTTTTTTATTTTAAATTATTTAATTATTTTCAGAATATATCTATTGAAAATCTTTCAATAATTGGTTACTATTCACCTAGTAATTTCTTGGGCAATCGTCTGCCTTCTTCCATTAAGTTATATTTACTAAAACATCCACCACATGTTTTCTCTGCATATTTTCTTTTAATTATTCTTATAATCGACCATTGCATTAAATAAAAATTTTTACTCGTTTTAAAAATTTTTACCAAAATTAACCAAAATATGGATTCACTGTTTATTTACTTAGTTTTATTTATTTTTTGAGAGCTCAATATTTCAATAATTTCTTCAATACGGCTGAATTCTGCGTTAATATCGACTTTACTTTCTAGGCGCTCACCACTGTTAAATAGGTTTCGCTGGCTTGTTACTAGACAAATTTTGGCGACTGAAGTACATAAATTGCTAACATAATGGATTTTTGAAAGATTACTTTGGGAGTGAAACCCAAAAATATTGCTATATGAGCAACAATCCACTGAGCCATTCTACGCCTCTTTGCTTTCGCCATTAGGTCGCTGGATGACGCTTCGGTCTGACCTATTATTGCTACTAAGCCACTGATGCGCTCTGGTTGAACATAGATCCCTCCGATTTAGGTGAAATATTGAGAAGAATGAAGCGGGTATATTTTTCAGGTCGTTACCCTTCTCTTCATAAGCCTTGTCTTTCCTATAAATCCATCTTATTTTTTTTTCTTTCACATAAGCTGTTATTTATTGCGATTTTACATCTTTTAAAGCTGATTCTTATTTTCAATAACAAATATTTGTAATTCATTAAGAAATCGTTTAAAAGTAATTTAAGTTATATTATTCTTGAATTTGAACCCTTTTTTTCCTTTTCTTTAATTTTTACCCTTTTTTTTAGCAAATTTACTTTAATTTACGAATAAATTCAAATTTTAGACTAAACAAATAGAAAATTTTATTGAAAATTTGATTATCCAAATTTGATTATACTTAAATATTTTCCAAAAAAATTTTAACCTCATTTTTAATGAAAACAACACGATTTTTACATATTTATTTTTTACATATTATAGGCAAAAAAGCAAAGCTGACTTGTTCGAATTGTCCAAAAAGAGCAATGTTTGACGAGGAAAATGATAACCATTGAAACAATTATCGTACTAATATTGTGCACAGCCGGTTCATTCGGTCACTTATTTGCAATCACCATACTATATTCGATGCTTGATCCGAGTAATTTGCTTTTAATAAGCATGTCATGGTAAGTTCAAGCAAATTTCTTCTATGAACTGCATAAGTGCAAAATTATTTATATCAGAAAAATCTGAAAAACAGATATTTTTCACTGGATTTCTTCCATATTCTCATTCAAATTTTTCGATACAATATTTAATAATTTGGCAAAATTAAAAACGTTGGAGTTTCTTTTCTTTTTTCTTCAACATTTCTGATTTGCTTACGTCGGATCAGACAAGTTTTGCCAGGGAATCACTTGGTGATAAAAGGATACCACTAAATTTCTAAAAGATTATATATAGGTTTATTTACTTTTTCTGAGAGTCTTAGCATAGCAATCTGAAATAGGACAATAAACAACCAACAATGTGAAGCCAATCATTTATTTTATATTCAATTGGTTGAAACGGTTAACATTTAACATTTTTGATTAGGTTCACTCCACTTGATTATTCATGTGATGAAAAATTTTTGGTCCAAAAAACAAATAACATTTCATTCATTCTTCAGCGATTTTTTTATAATTTCTGAATAATTTTTCAAGAAAATTGAAATTACATAGTAATAATAATTCGCAAATCGATACAAACGATAATTTTCCTCCTATGATTTCGAATTATCGCAAATTTTCTAATGTATTTTCTACTGTATATATATATATCTTATGCACTGCTTTTTTATTTATATTGTAAATATGCTTTTGAAATGGTTTTATTCGATAGATGCAAATTGAGATGAAAATTCATGATATTTGGTTTTTGGCTTAAATAATTTAATATAAAAAAATTTTTGATAAAAAAATTAATCTTATTATATTAAAAAATTAATCTTATTATATTTCATACGAAAAACTGATATAATGCTAAAATGCTTTAATTGTTTTTTTGCACAAATTAAGGGAATTTTTGAAAAAAATTAGGCAATGTTGATCATCTTGCCAATAAATGAGTCTTGAAAAATATTTTGGACCCAGTGGGCGCAAGGTTTTACAAAAAAAGAATTGGTTTCTAGATGGGAATGAGTTGTAGAAAGCAAATAGAGAAAAAATGGATTAATATTTTTACTGATATAAATTGACCAATATGGATTTATATTTCAGTTTAAATTTTCAATAAAATAAATTTTTTGAGAAATTCTTCAATAGATTATATGATTTAAATTTGAATGCAAATAAAATTTAATTTATTTTTGAGGAATTAAAAGTACCAAGAAAAAATTAATCGATGGAAAGAGAATTTCAAATTGATGAAATTTTTTATCCGAAAATTTTTCTTATTTATTGCTATTTATCTAAAACTTTATCGTCTTCATTAACTTATTTATATGTTCTTTTTACTTATTTTTCGACTTAGAGAAATATTAGAGGCCTATAAAATATCAAAATAAGTCGATAAGCTTTAAGCATTAAAACGATGTTGTGAAAAAGCAGATTAAAATGCTATATACAATAGATTAAAGAAGAAGGCTCTAAAGCCGATTAAAATATTTTGTATTTTATTTTTCGCATGTTTAATTTAAAATGCTTCGTTAAGTAATGTAATGAAGAAATTTTGGATATTTCATGACTTATATTTCATAGAAATAGTATTTCTATGCTATTTCTCATTCATATACTTTTCTTAAATGAAATTCTAGATACCGTAACATTTAATCAGATTATAGAGAGAGGATTTGATTAGGATAAAGGTTGTCAAGTGGTATTGCACCTCACATCAAGTACTTAATTTATTGCTCCGGTAGAAGTTGGTTCCTATTATATATTTCTATCAGCAAGTGATATCCTGGCTAAAATTCCTCATCTAATAGCTAGTACTAATAGCTAGCGACGTTGGCTGTTGAAGGTCACTTATTTAATTTGGCTAAAATCATAAAAATGAGAGCTATTGATATTTTTCCTATTATTCCTATTAATAACGAAACCAAAAAATTAACTATAATTGTTGATAACTCATCATCCTTAGATAATTTGAGTTAGTTTATTAGCAATTGTCTCTTTAAAAAATTGTTAGGCAAAATTTCTCTTCTGGCGATAGCACATAAATGATTAGTATCCTCAAATTGAAAATCTGGAAGCTCAAAGGATCAGAGGAGATAAAAACTTATTTTAATTTTAGTGTCGGAGCTAATTGACTGAAATAATAAATTCGAAATTAAAATTAACGTGTATTAAATTAAGATAAAAAAAAGTTGAAGGCAAATATTAGAGATCAGATTCTTTTCAAACTACTTGGTTTATTTGGGCTTTAGAAAATTGACTTCTATTTCATTTGTGCAAAAAATGAAAATTAATTTAAATAAATTTTAATAAATTTCCATGAATTTTAAAAAATCAGAGCATCAGAAATAGTTTTTTTTTTCAGTGCTCAACTGATTTTATGCATGAATTATCTCTACAGCACCTTATATAAATTTCTCGCTGATGTTCAATGCGTGTCAACTCTTTGGTCATATGGATGGGTCACCACTTTACTAATAAGTTTATTTATTCTATTTTATAAAACTTATTTACAGAAAAAATTTCTTCTTAGATAAATTTTCCCGCATCTTTAGGCACCTTTTTAAATGTTGAAAAAATTCACTTGAAATTTTTTTTAAATTTGACTATTCATTTAGCTTAGTTTTCCCTTGGGATAAAATAATTTTTAAAATTCCTTACGTATCTCGAAATCGATTGTTTTTCCCATAAATATTGTCGTTGACGAAAGAAAAATAGCTTAGAAAAAACGATAATATCGTCAATTTTATAAATGTCGCTAATGAACTAAAGAATTTTACTGAAGAAAGTGCAAAAAATTAATTATAATTTTTTTAAAAATTTAAAGTTTTCAAGTAATTATAATATTAAACTAAGCTGAAACGACTATCTGAAGCGGAGCGAAAATTTTGTTTTGAAGAAAACTGCTTATAAAAAATTAGAAAGGAAAAATAAATGGGCTTAAAATTTTTAATTATAAATTCTGCGAGAAGGTTGAAAGAAATTTCCGCAGTAATTCTTTCAGCTTGTAATATTTTTATAATTTAGGTTTCCGTAAATATTTCTGTTATTGCACATACGAATGGTATGTTTCATGTTGTAGCATTATCAATTTTACGGTACATATCACTGAACCAGCTCACACAAATTCATTCAACTCAACCGTGGTTCACGATAAAAGTTAATTTTCTTTCGTCTTATTTAATTATTGCTAGATACATTTGGATAATCCTGTGGTAATTTTTTATAATTTCAAAATTTATAAAACTTAATAAAATTGTTTCTATAAAAAGTTTATAAAAAATAGCAAAATTTCTAATGACGTGCCCATACTGGAGTTAAAGTTAAAATTGAATTGGTAAGTTCAAATCATCAGGAATGGAGTCTTTCAAAGCTTCGCATCATGCCAGAGATCTGCCTATACTTATTTCAATAAGTGAGGTGAAAACGTTTCTGCTGTGTCAAGTCAGCAGAACGAGCTTAACCGCTCTTTAAAAAAATACTATAATGAATATGAATATTGTGCACAATATCAAATGAAACACTATCAAATATTTTATACGACGTCATAGCAATTTTAATTATGAAAGACAGCTTCATCAATGCAATTTAGATTCTCTCTTAATTCGTCGAATTGAACAAGTTTTATACTTATAAGATTCTGCATGGTTATGTTAAACTAGATTGTTCAAAATATTATAATTTTAGGTTAAATTCAAATCCAATAAGAACCAATGGGCCAAAATTACTAAAACCCATGTGTAAAACTAAATTAAAGACTGATGACTTCTTTATTCGTACTATCAATTACTGGAATAAGTTACCGAACGATATATGCTTGTGCATCATCCTTAGTCATCTTTAACTAAGCTATCTTTAAAAAAAGATTAGACAATATCATTTATGATATTATTTAAATTATAAAATTGATATTTTATTGCAATTTGTACGATAAAAGCATCTTTTTAAGCGAATTTGATAAATATGGTGGTAATAAAAAACTTCGCTGAATTATAAATATGGAATTTTAATTCAATTTCCGAAAAGAAAGTTTTAAGTGAGTAAAAAAGTTTTCAGAAAAGTATCTATTCGATAATTATCATTATATTCTGTGCTCTCATAGTCTGTGTACCATTCTTATTTAATTCGGAAGTTCGCGGAGTGCAGCAACATGCTACTTGTACTAAGCAAAATCCATCATTGGCAAATATTTCATCACATGAACTTGCTTTCACTAGTTTTGCAATGAGTATCTCACTGGGTCGCATTAATTTTTGGATTTTCGGCACAATATGCAAACTCGTTCCATGCTCAGTTCTAGTCTTAATGAGCATTTTATTGCTTAAAAAACTTAAGGATATTCATAATATATCGGAACGATTTATGTCAGCTTCCAGAGAAAAGGTCCACAGTAGGACAACGATTATTATATTGGTAAGTTCTATTGAAACGTGATAATTGACTTAATTGACTTGGCAATTTAATTATTAATTTAATCTTAACTTTATCTTAAACCATATGAATTTTCGCTTATCTTCGTGAAAGAAGCTCCTTCTTAACTTCGATTCACATAGACAAGCAAATCACGAAATCGGGATTTTCTTAGTATTCTACTTGTAAAAGCATATACCATTATTTGACTGATTCCCACTAGGTTTTCGAGGTGAATGACTCCACTGGGATGGCAGTTGTGGCTAACGATGGGCCTCCAGCTACCATTCGACTTTTATTTTTAATATTTTATATATTTTTAATCTCTAATTGCTTCAAAAGACAGGAATCAAACTCTCATTTACAATGGAAATAGAAAAAAAAGTATCTCTGTTTAAAGACAGCTTTGAATATGACGACGAGAAGTAATCGCTTTGAAATATTTTAATTATCTCAGCAATTCAATAAATTAGCTTTTAGATTATAATGGTTGTATTCGTTTTTGTGGAGCTTCCACAAGGGATTCTTTCCTTAATTTCATCGATAAGCGGATATAATCTTTTGGATAACACCGGCGAATTATTCGATATATTGTCACTATTGAATTCGTGCATTGTATTTGCGTTGTTGTGTTCGATGAATAGTCGTATAAGAAATACAATATTTAATGGGGTATTCTCACTGCTTCGTTGCCGAAATATTTGTAAGAATGTTCGGTAAATTCTTTAGAATACTTCTGTTTGCCAAAGCATTTTTCTTAACAATTTTCTGTCTATGCTATTTCGAGCTTTAAGTTAGACGTCTTCCGTGAAGTGTTGACTGTTCAATCATGAAAATGCCTTATCAGAAAACTAGCGACCAAGCCTATTTTAAAGATGTTCTTGGTATATTTTACAGTGTTCCAGTTCTAGCCTAATTCCTCTGGAAAAAAGCTGATTATAATTATCATGTTGATTAATAAAGAGATAAATACGCGCTACAGATTATATGATTATATGAATAAAGTTAAATCAATACAAGGAATTCAGTATGGTTTTCTTGAAAAAAAGGCCGGTGACTTCTCAGCCTCTAACTAATTTTTCTATGCTGCCACATTGGTTTTAATTGTTTAACTGGATTTATTCAAAGTTTTTAATATAGCATAACATACGCTTCACAATCATCCATGAATTTTACATTATTAGTGAATCATTTAATTTGATTGGCCTTTATATATTATCATTGCACTATCGGTTTTTATTTCAGTTACATCTGGTGCGTTCCAAGATAGTTCCATTGGTCCTTTGGCCCATTTGATGCATATTTATGGATCATTTCTAATCTCTTTTTATGTAGCCACTGCAAATCTTAACCCTTAACAATATTTGGTAGAAAATTATATTAAAAAATTATTAGAAAATTTGAGCGACTGCAAAATTAATACTTAAGTACACTTTCAAGACATTAAATTGATAAATTCAGGATTCTACATTTATATACAAAATATTTTTGAAACATCTTCTGATTTCCCACTAACAGTGATCGCTCTGTACTGTTTCGAAATATTCAGGCCTTGGATTATTTACTGACAAAAATCTTGACTTTAATTTTCAATACATTGCAAAATTTCAGTTTCAATCTCAATCCTTTGATGAAATAATTTTTTCTCGACAATTTATTATTATTACTTTGCTTTTGTTAAATCAGTATAAGTGTCGCTGTTTATCCTTTTTATTTTTCATTATTTGAAATAATTCTATTTTCATTTTATATTTTATTTTTCTTAATCTATGAGAATTTTAAGTGTTTTTCTTGCTTTTAATAAATTTTAATCAAATTTTATTTGATGAATGTATTGTAAACCAATATTAGCATTTCCTTGAGAAATAAAGCTTCAAAAAAATTAATTAAAATATATTTCAATACTGAAAATCGGCAAAAAAGAAATATAGCATTACGATAAGTCTTAGCTTGTTTTTCTTCGCATATAACATTTAAATATAATAAATTTTATTTTATTAAATATAATTTTGTTAAAAATTTCAGGCGAGCATCTCGAAAAAAAAGAACGAATGACCATTCGAATAGAGCAGTAAAAAGTAGCAAGAATTTTATCGAAAATTTAGAAACGAAGTCAGAAATCCACGTATAAGAAAGAATAGAATACTGCGATCTAAACGAGCAAAATGAATTATTGCACATTATTTTTTTTTCATTTTTATTTATTTAGTTTGCCATTGTAATAATTTTTTGTAAAAATAATTCCACGGCGCAACCAAATATTCACTATCTGAAGATATAAGGAAAAAAATTCTGCTTATTCCATTTCAAATGATTGATCCGGATGATTGCATTCACGAAAGCTGCATGTACGATTCTAATCACCTAATCACTGTATCACTATTAACGTGTAAATATTTGCGTATAAAACTGGTTCATTTAACTGGCTCATTTAACAAAAATTTTCCAAAGATCTATCGACCGCTATTCACTTTATTCGAGCTTTCAGGATTTATAATTATGATTGCTTAGTGTTGCAATGCAGAAATTAATTTCATTAATTAATAAATATCACGACCGATTTAGTTAATTTTAATTATTTTCAAAAATCACTTTTACCATTGTAAGTTTTATTCGCTCATTTAATCTTTAAAATCGGATTGGGAATTATTGATAATTTGAAATTAAAGTCGATAAATCATATCCATGGAAATTTCTTGAAAGTCAAGGCATGGTTCATCATAAAGATTTATTGCATCTTTAATAAAAAGATAGGACCTTTAAAAAAAATTTATATTTTTGGAAAGAAATCTGACAAATCGTTTAGAGAAAGAAATAGAAAGAAATATAATTTATGCGCATATTTAATGAATTTTTATATTCCAATATGTTGTTTTATTTTACAGAATTATCAATTCATAACATTTCATATTATTTTTTATTTGTCTTTTTTGCCTTTTTTTGTCTTTTCAATTTCAAATATTATTTAAAGAAAATAACTCTTTAATATTTGATAATTTAACATATTAGTTAACTAATATGTTTAACAATGATTGTACATTGATAATATTAATATTAATAATATATTTCTCCATCACGAAACAAAAAAATTTTGGTTTTCAACCAAAAAAATCCATTTGCAGTTAATCAAATTTGAAAAAAGGAAAGAATAAAATAATAATCATTGGAAAAGTTTTCTTCAAATAAATTTTGATGGTGAAGAAAATTTATAAAAAAATTTATAGAAAATTTTCAAAAACCAATGATTCATGATGTAATAAATATCAACTACCCCAAGACTGAAAAACCGAATTGCCGTCAAAACCATTTGGATCAAAAGGTCGAAGAGAAACTAAGGATTCATTACATGACAGATACCCTAGTGGATCAAATCCAGTAAGTCATATTTATAATAGTAAATATTTTTCACTATTCATTAGAAATAAACCATCAAATGAATGCGCCATTAAATAAACGTTGATCAAAGGGCCACCTGGAATTTATAATTGATTCATATAGGAAACTAGATAAAACTAAAAGAGAAAAAGGAATCAAATCTTTTTTTAAATGTGCCAATGATGAGCCAATGTTGAACTTTTTATTTAAAAAATTAACGTTGATAGAGTGGCTCAGTGGTGTCATTCATATTTTAGAGATGCTGGAACTTTTCTGGCAGAAACAAACTTCTTTTTCAAGGAATCCGAGTGATGCCGGCGACAAATTCGTACTTCAATCGTCGGGTGGCAAAAATTTCTAATCCCATAAACCAGTGGAGCAGGTCCATGCATAAATGATGAATTCCTTCACTAATCCAATATTGCTTTGAAAACAAAGAATGAAAACCAAAACCAAGGAAGTGAGATTTGAGATGATTATGATATGAAGATGAGAGAATTTTCAATATTGCTTTTTGAAGCAAAGAATTTTATTACTTATTTTATATTTATTTTATTATGCATTACTAAATTTCTTTATAAGCAGGCAGTAAAGCAATCGCATATTTGAGCATTATTATAAACGAAAATAAGACCAAAAATTTTAGATGGAAGATAAAAATACAAAAGTGACTAATTGAATTTGAAGGAGGAGTAAAATTTGGAATTGGATTGTAAGTGGACGGCAGTTGCAGGAAAGGAAAATAATATCTTAATAAGAGAGAAAACAATCATTATTATGAAAGATGGAATCTATTAAAGCGAACTTATTATTTGTAAACTTGAAAGTCAATTTTCTAATGCTTCATAGGCATTATAGCTAGATGCCCCATTAATATCCATTTTGTTGAGGTGGTGGAACTACTGTTCGATGAAAACTTTCTGTTGTTGTTGTAACTTCATATGTACGATCTTGATTCCTTCGACCCCGAGCAGTTGCAGGAAGTGGTACTCGTTCTGCTTGAGGCACATCCTCTTCATAGACTCTGAAATGCAAATATAATATTAAAAGTTGTTTTTACAAATAAAATCTGAGAAACCACCACAAAAATTTTTCATCTTATGAAGGTCAATAATTATTTCTAGAAAATTATCCATATAAAAATAAACAAATTGAACCTACACATATTCTTCTTTGAGTGAAGGAGCTCTGACGCGCGGAAGTTTGAACCAGGAGAAAAATGGACTAATGTGCTCCTCATATAGCGGTGGCTTCTCTAACAAAACATGATAAACTTCTTGGAAACATAATACGGAATGGCACTGCAATTAAAATGAAAATATATAAATGGTTATCCCAATAACCGTTCTTTTTTTTAAAGCTTTAATCAACACTTCTCAGTTCAATTTTAAAATATTACAAAACGAGTAGCTTACAAGAAAATATGCGATGAAGAAACCGATTAGCCAACCAACTATAACGTCTTCCCAATGATTTTTATAACCATTTATGCGCGAAAATGAGTCAACTAAAGTAAGACCGAGAAATCCAAATATTAAAAAAGGTCTCAACAATGGTGCTCCTCGTAGATTTATCATATAATAAATGTAGCACTGAAAGTAATTGAAATAATTGAAAGTAATTGAAAGTAATTGTGAATTGTGCATCTTGAAATAATAGTTCGATAGAAAATTAACGAGATAAAGAATGGATAGATAACAGATAGATAAAGAATAGATTTAACTGAGATAAATTGGAAAAATATGTTAAAATACGAACAATATGTAGTTTAATCGCAACTTACTGAGGCAAATATACAAGAAAACGCGGAAAAAGCAGCGTGAAGTGAAGGAAATGAAAGAGAAGCATAACGTAAATCATCGGAATTATGGTAGTTACAAGCAAGTGCTGGTGAAGGCGATGGAGATTGTTCCAGTGGAGCAGTACATTTGCTGAAAATATTTTTTATGCTATACTCATAAACTAATTTTTATATGAAAACATTTCGATATGAGTAGTTGAGTAAAAACAGTATTAAATTTGTGAAAAATTATTGTTTCTAAATCTTCTCTTATTAATCATAGGAATTTAATAAATTGAAACTTGCAGAAATAAATTAAAAAATTGATAAGATGATGAATAGGCCAAAAGATAAATTTTGCTTAATTATCTAAGTTTGAGATAATATATAATTGTGGTTTTACAATATTTTAATGGATATAGACTGAATCTTCATCCCAAAATATGCTTCAAAAAACAGGTTGAAGGCACATATGGGCAAATATATCCCAAAATATAGCTTGAAAAGATTGGTGAGATAACCCCTTTGAGGAATGTGGAATGATAAATGTGCAAATTTAACATTAAAAAAACGAAAGTTTTCGAATTCTACTGCACAAAATAATAACAGATGAGTGAAGAACAAACGGCCAAGCGGCCATGGAGGCCGCAGGTTGAAGGTATTTGTAACGATTTCGAATTAGCATCAAAATTCTGCAAGGCAGATTTACTAAGCATTGATCGCGATTCGAAAATGCAAGCGGAAAATAACTACTTAAGCGATGAAGAAAAGAGAAATGAAATAGAGCAAACAAAAATAATGATTGATTGTATTTTCAAAATAATTTTTACTTGCTTATTTGCATATATATATAAAGCAGTTTTTTTTGATGCTAAAATATAGATTTAAGGATTTTAGGGTCAATTAGCCGTTCAGATGTCACCAAGCAGCCAGCACTGAAGCCAAATAGCTCATTTTAATTAGAATGAAAAGCGTTGTTTTAACTAAAATATGAAGATAGACTATGAGATTACCTGAAATTGACATTGCACAGTGATAGAAAATATGGTCTTTGATAACCAGTCATCAATTTCATTGTATATACAAATATTTGCGTTATTAAAGCACCAAACATAAATACGGCTGAAAGTTTAATAGGATTTTCAACTTAATAAATATTTAATTAAACCATAAGCTTATTTAAAGCTTATTTATTTATTTGAGTGTATGATCAGAAAATTTAAGAATTCATTTTAAATAATAAATAAACAAATTTAAATCGATTTTAACTTGTAATTAAGCAAAATAAAAATACAAAAAATATTTTTTGAGCCAAGAATAATTTTAAAAATTATGAAAAGGGCCAAAATCAAATGATTCGGCCATATTATATATATATATAATTCATTTTTATATTTCATATATATATACTGCGATATATATTTCTGCAGTTTATTAATTTATCAATAAAATATTACTAAAACTTTGTGAACTTTCGATAAATTATTCGACTCATTTGATTATGTGCTAATAATCGCTTGGTTGGAGATCAGCTTTCTTTATCAATTTCTAAATTGGTCAGCTGAAAAGAATTGAACCAAAATAAAAAAATCGTTATCGACTTACCGAAAAATCTTATCAATCGCCGTGAAAATAAATGAACTTTGCATTCATCACAATTTGCATAAATTTTCTTTCGAGGCTTCGTTGAAAACAACCAAAACATTATTTCTCCAATTAGAATCTGAATTTAGCTGTAGTTGCATTTGCGTTGAACATAGAGTGACTATATTTGTAGATTTATAATTTATTTTCTAGCTGGAAATTTGTCCATTTATTTCTATTTCCTTTTTTTCGAATGATTTCGAAACTAAGGAAATAATATTAGTTTACTTATTATCGACTTAGACGTTGAAAAAGGGAAAAGGGAAATGTCGAGTATGGCGACGAATCGAGCAGACTGGAAACGCTATCCTTATAGTCAGCAAAGCCAGTTTAATCAGCAGTAGTGCGAGCTATTAGAAAAACGTTGTTCGTAGTTGAACGTATAATAAGCGAATGAATTCTAAACGATATTTTCTTTTCAAATTTTTAATTTCTGAATTTTTTCGAAAAAAACTTTATTTATAAATTAAAGAATGATTTTGCCGATAAAAACGGGAAAGGACAAATCATTAGTGTTACCGCTGCATGACTAAGGAATCATACAAGCGAATGAACAATGCATCAAAAGTATGCCGAACCAGACAAATTTAGCTTATCAAAATACAGGTGAGTCACCAACAAATATCACCTGGATTTGTGAAGGAAAAGTTTGTCCCGAATAGAAAAAAAACTATAAAAATTTCAGAAATCTGGTGACTCACTTGCATCTCCTTTCCTTCAAAATTTTTCTGCCAATAAATTCTTTTAGGTATCTTTTAGGTAAAACTTTTTAGGTATTTCTTACGTTCTTTTTTCACGTTATCTGTGATTATTATATGATCACAGTTCATCATTCGTAAAAATAAGAAAAATTTTTTGAAACATTTTTCTTCATTGCAAAATATTTGATTATTTTTATCTTCAATAAACCTTATAACGTTCATTGAATAAACATTGTTTTGTATATTATTAACTTAATGCCTTTATATTGAGTGCAACCATTATCCAATCTTTTGTCGCATATTATTATTTATTATTATTGTTATTGTCATTATTAATTTAAGAAAATTTATTTTTAAAATTAGTTATATTTAAGAAAACATTGAACCCTTCATTTCGAAAAATTAAAAAGGTATTGGAGGGCATCAAAGGCATTACTGTAGAACGAAAATTAAAGGATCTGTAGAGCGATTTGGAAAAAAATTTGATTGAAGCAAGCACTTAGCGCTTATCATTTCTAACACATTGGGTCATTCTGTCCTTCGAAAGGAAAGAAAGTAAAAAGTTTCTATAAAATGTTGTATGATACGCTTTAAACTTTTCTCTTAAGAATCGCCCAAAGAAGATTAAAAGATTGAATTTCAAATATCATAAAATCGAAGAAAAGCAAGAAATCGAAGGAAAATGAAGAATTGCATAAAATAAAATCGCCAAGCAATATTTTATTATATAATATTTTTTGCTTACTTTTTATCCATAATATTTTTTTTGGATTTAAGCAGTTTTGTACGTTTAGTGATTCATTAACATTACAAAAATCAAGTCCTTAACTTGTAACACTAAGCGGCCAACTAATGACAAACAAGATTAATTTAAAAAGAATTCCATACTTTTGAAAACCAGTTTCAAAAAGAAATAAAAAACTAACGACAAGAGGTGGTAAAGTAAAGCCAAGAGCATAAAGTAATGCATATGAAACGTAAACTTGAAAATCCTCAGGTCGAAAATATGGCTTATATAACCTGACATCCTTGCAGTAAAATACACGTTGGTGATAGGGAAACACTGAGGTAAAACTGAAAATTATTAAAAATTACTCAAGTATTAACGAGAATTGGTCTAATCATTTTCAATCATTAAAGGGCATTGCAGGCTCACTCTGTTGGCTTGTCAGACTAGAAAAATATGCTATGGAGCACCTTGGCGAAAAATACTGGTGAATCGTCAGCATCACCCGGAACCATAATTCATATATTTAAAAATATCCCATATAATGTTTTTCTTATAAAGCGAAATTAATATAAATAGCGATATTTAAATATTTGTTAATTCTAAATTAATTTTTTTAAGTAATCTAATTTAAGTAATTTAAATATTACGATAAAATAGCTATATTTTTTTCTAAGAGCGCTCACCATTTCTGGTAAGAATCGCCCTGATAGCTTGTCGGAGCGGACAAGAAGTCTAAGTTACTTTTCAAAAGCTGCTCAGCGATAGAAGCTTAAGTGAGTTGCCAGCATCTCCTGGAATTTTCAAAATGCAGATTTACTTCAGCTTGGAGTGGAGCCCAAGCACGCCGAAATAAGTGCCTCAACTCACTGATCCATTCTATCTCCTCAATAATATTTCGAATAATTTAAATATTTCGAATAGTTTAAAATAATTTCCATGAACGATCGAAATCTTTCGGATTACCAAATCTTTCGAAAAGGATAAAAGTAAAAAATGATCCAACCAAATTTTAACAGATTAAGTGTCAGAGTAAAATATTGAAAAAAAGATAAGCTAAGTCCAAGCATCTATACTGATATTTAAAAATTACCTCAAATAATACCATAATGTCCAAAGGCATGCAAGGCCAACAACTGAAAGGACAAAGGTAGGAAGAATAAAATGATTAATTTGGAAACGATTTCGAATTGAAACCGGGCCACCGTACTGTGAAGCAGAAAGGGCATCTGACTGAGCTCGAGATGGAGCTATTGACATGGCTTTAATTTATAGATAGATCAAGTAATCAAGCGTATCGATTGAATATGGACAAGAAACTCGGAGAGTAAAGGGCGGTATCGACTAATATTCACTCAACTGAAGTGAATAGAATTGAACTGAAGTGAAAACTGGCTAATTCGTATCGTCCTGTTTCTGTTTACTAACATTCGCTGTTGCTAGAGAAATGAATAACGAGGCAATGCAAAAACTGATCGTGCAGCTGGTCAATACGATGACCACAATAAAGACCAGGTGAGCAAATCATTTTTTTTCTCGACAACAGTTAGTTTTAGTCGACGGCTTTGCTTATCTTCATTCTTTTTCATCTCCTCGAAATTTTCCAGCAGTGAAAATCTGTGGAAATGGCTTTTCCATCTTCAATTGAACCAGTTTCTAATGTCCATTTTTTAGCCAAAAATCTCGCTCGAACTCTGTTTGGCTTCTCGAGTTTAATTATCGCCCAAGATAATCACAATGAAACCATTTGTTTTATATCGGAGGTAAAAGTTTTATGAGATTTTTTCTTTCTTTTTTTATCTTTTTTCTTTTTGTTCGATTTTAAGAATAAATCATTTCCACTCTTTACACTAGGTCTTTAAATTCTTTTTCTGCCATTTCTAGTCGTACTGAATTCGCTATTTATTTAAGTAAGATTTCTCCAAGTCTTCCTATCGAAGCCATCCTTAAATTATATGAAAGAAAGAAAAAGCCCTTCTCACTCCTTTTAGATGATATGGGTTACTTTTATCCTCGGATCCTCTAGATACCAGAGGTCTGGAAGATCAAAGTAGGGTATAAACTTTCTTACAAACTTTCAAAGGCCTTGTGCAAAGATCTCTCACCGGAAAATTACGAAAGATAATCATAATTTGGAGCGATCTGCCAAACTGAAGCTGTTACTAAATTATATATGATTACGTTGCGTCGCGAAATTTCATTAGTCTTTACCATCAAAATTTTCATTTAACGATATTTTCTGCCTATGAAAGTTGTTCGATAATATTTTTTTCTTTTTTTTCAGTTCCATTTTTTAAAATGACAAGTAGAAACTGCATTCCGCACGTTGCTTCTGAAGTTATTAATGAACATTTTTTTCCATCCAGCAGAAAATACTTCCTGGTTTAAAATAAACAAAACAGCAAATTTCCTTTCATAAATTGTACTTGTGTGGGAAAAGATTGTCCACTGTTGTAATTGCTTTTCAATATTGAGTATCAGAGATCATATTCCCTGGTCTTGTCATTAAAAAGTCCACGCGAAACTGGTGAGTCACCTGTATTGTGATCGCTAAGTAAGAAATTTCGACTGATATACTAGCCGAATTAAATTAAATAATTTAGCATGAACAGAAATCATGGCGACGGACCGAGCAGCTTGAAAACATCTGACCCTTATAGCCAGCGGAGCCAGCCAAACCAGTAATGGTGAGAGCTGTTAAAAGAAGAAGAAGAACCAAAAGTGATGAGCGGTAACCATTTGCTTCAATTTGATTATATTTAAATAGGAACATTTAACTTATTAAAGAAACTGACTTAATAGTTGTTGAAACTATAAGAATCCACAAATCGCTTTCATAAAAAAAATTTTCAGTGACAAATTCTTTTAACATTATTACTAATTCGCTGTACTGGCTATCAGCATGAAATCTTCTAATGGCTTTGTTTAACCAAGTAACATTTCAATTGACTAGTCTGTCCCTAATAAATAGCAAATTTCATAAAACTGGCATAATATTTATCAATCTTCATAATTCTCAGTTTGAAGAAAAGGATTAAATAATAAATTCATTGATGGCAGAAGACTGGCAACGAGATTAGCGACCGATCTAGGACATTTGATCACCATCGAAACAAATGTTTTATAGATGACAAATCCAATAAATAAAGAAGAATGTATAGCAAAATTGCAAAATATTTTTCAGAAAGTCGTTTTCTCCATCCATTTATTATATTTATTTCCTGCGTGATCACATTTTACTTAATTTTTAAGCTAGTTGAGCTGCTGACATTAAGCGGATTTTTGATAGATAGAAAATGGGTTACAACTCGTATTTCGGTGTAAATTGTGACAGGAGAGAAAAAGCTGGCGATTTTTGTACCACCAAATATCCGTAAACTTAAAAATAAAAATAAGTAATTGAAATTTATTTCAATTACTTATTTTTGAAATTTGAAATAAAATTTATTTTGAAATTTATTTCAAAATAACTTGAACCAATTCATTTCATAAGGTGGAAATCATTGATATACACTAATAAATTATTGATAATAATTTTTTGAAAAAAATTTTTAATTATTTTTTACTTTTTTTATTCTTTAGAATCCATAAGAAAAGAAGAATGCAAACGAATGTTCGAGCGGTTAGTGATTTTTCAATAAAATAGTTTAGACGCTGGTACTTTGTGACCATTGGAATTGAAACATTCTAAGCAGGTTAACTTATCTTGAACCGCGATGATTAGCTCCTATGAGGTTGACGTATTACTTTCATTTTGTTCGTTTTTATTTAATTTTTCCAAAGATTAGCTTAGTCGGTTATTACTCCCATTTTGATTCTGCTCTCAACATTTTTCAAAAACGGAGATAGGTTAGCTAAAGCGATGGATAAAGGTGAAGTAGAAGCTTTAATAACTGAAAGTTTATGTCCTATTGGTGACTTACTTTGTCTTCTAAATTATCAAGAATAGAGAAAAATAATAGTTAACAAAATTTTTTAACGATAGTTGGTTTCTACGTGGAACTTTTCCACTCTTGCACGGAATGAGTTACTAGTGAAGTCACTCATTCCGAAAAAAGCTATCGCTAAGTGACTCTCTGACAAAAATTTTTTAGAGTGATAAACCAGCAGAGCGGATATAACCAGAATTGGTGAAGGCTCAGAAAAAAAAGTGCTCGAGAAGTGTGAATGAATTCAAAAATTACTTGAATCCTTTATATGTATATTTGAGTTTTAAGATTTTGCTGTTATTTATTTTCAGAGAGAAGTCATATCAGTACATATTGGCCAAGCTGGAGTACAGATTGGAAATGCGTGTTGGGAGTTATATTGCTTGGAGCATGGAATTCAACCTGATGGAATAATGCTTGAAGATGATTCTATTGGTACTATTGTTTATTATTAATGCAACATCTTCATCATTATTCTTTAGACATAATTTTCCATTAAATTCATATAATTATCGGAATAAACTAGATGTAAAATTATAAAGATATTAAATAATGATTCTCAAAAATTTCATGGGAAATTTTAAAAATCATTTTTTTTCAGGTATAGAAGATGATTCGTATAACACTTTTTTCGCAGAAACAATTAGTGGTAAACATGTTCCTCGAGCCATAATGGTCGATCTTGAACCAACACCAGTTGGTTTGTTATTGATAGATTTACCATATTTGTGCTAAACTTTTAATTTAATTTTCCTTTTTCATTTAAAAGCTGTTAGAACACATAGGTTTTTCTATGGCTCGAATTTTTACTACAAATAAATAAAAATTGAAAAGTTCCATCAGAGCTTTTGGCTGAAAAGCTAAAATAGCTAAGGATGAGGCAAAACTAAATGAGATTTAAAGAGCAAATTCATTCTACAGATGAGATTAGAACTGGAACATATAGGCAACTTTTCCATCCCGAACAGCTACTTACCGGCAAAGAAGATGCTGCAAATAATTATGCTCGAGGACATTATACAATCGGCAAGGAAATGATAGAAGTTTGTATGGATAGGGTGAGAAGGCTAGCAGAAAATTGCAAAGGACTTCAGGTTTTTTTTAAAGTTTTCACCATTACTGATTAAACTCGCTCCGATGACTTGTCGCACTGGAAAAATATGCTAGAGAGCACCTTGGCGATAAAAATACAGCTGAATGGCCAGTATCACTCGGATTTTTGGACAGGTTTACTCCTGCTGGGAACGGAACCTTAGCATAGATGCCTCGAATTTTTTTCTATAGTAAAAAATACTTCAGATAAAAGGATATTATTAAGGATATTGAAATTTACACAAGAAAAAAACTCAAATTCTATTTCAACAATTCAAATTTCGTTATTTAAAGATTATAAATTCTTGATTACTGTAAAAAAACATTATTCTAGAGATTGACGGCGGAAGATCCAAGAAAAAACTTTTAAGATCCTTTAAGCAAATAAAAAATAAAATAAAGAACTATTAACTATTAAAGAATATGCATTATGAAATTAAATAGATCTTTCAACAAAAGAATTATAAAATAATTATGAAGGAACGAAAAATTTACTTATGTTTTAGGGATTTCTCATTTTTCACAGCTTTGGAGGAGGCACTGGATCTGGCTTTACCGCTTTACTTATGGAGCGACTAAGTATTGACTATGGAAAAAAAGCGAAATTAGAATTTTGTATTTATCCGGCACCACAAGTCATAAAAATTAATTTGAAATAATAATAAAAATTAAATTAAGGAAAAAATTTTTTCCTAAATTGCTCTAAAAGCTCTAAATATATAGCATTCATATTTTTAAAGATATCTACAGCAATGGTGGAACCATATAATTCCATACTGACAACTCATACAACGCTTGAACATGCTGATTGTTCATTTATGGTTGACAACGAGGCGATATATGACATTTGTATGCGAAACTTGGATCTCGCACGCCCTACATATACCAATTTGAATCGCTTGATCGCTCAGGTTCATTGAATCTAACAAATTTACTAAAAAGATTCTAGCTTTTTTGTTTAATCTCTATAACTTTATAGGTGATCAGCTCTGTGACTGCATCCCTGCGATTCGATGGAGCATTGAACGTTGATTTGACAGAATTCCAGGTGAAAACATTTAATCAATTTTTTGATTAGTAAATATTTTATATAATTTTTGGGCAACCAACGCATTAATAGTAGGTAAAAAAAGCGAATAAAAAAATATATGGAATCATATGATTGCAATTAATGAATGAAATGAATTTTATCACAATATTACTTGTTCCATAGTTTCAGACCAATCTTGTGCCGTATCCACGAATTCACTTTCCACTCACTACATATGCTCCAATTATTTCTGCTGAGAAAGCTTATCATGAGCAGATGGCGGTATGTATCTATTTTTTTCTAAGAGTACTTATTATTTCTGGTAAGGCTTCTTGTATGTCTTGCTAAGCCTGGCAAATTTTGCAAAAAGATCACTGGAGAAACAGGACCAGCACCATTTGGATTTTTAAGACAAGTTTATTCTTGCCGGAAATAGGACCGCAAAATTTCCCTGAAATGGAAGCAATAACCCATTCTACCTCAAATATCTATTTGATGCAATATCTATCAAGTAAGAATCCGCCATTTGGATTTGAATAGAATAGGATTTGAATAGTTTATTAATTAATGCTTATATACGGATAAAGCTTCAAAATCAAAATATTTTTTGTATATTCTAATAATATTTTTAGATTAGTGAATAAAAGAGGAAAAAATTTTAGGTATCAGAAATAACTCAGCAATGCTTTGAACCTGGCGCTCAAATGGTGAAGTGCGACCCTCGCCATGGAAAATATATGGCAATAATTGATGTTTCAATTTTCTTAATCTAAAAAAATGAGACCTATGGAAGCAAAAGTTATATAAAAAGCAATTAATTACCAATAACTTAATAAAATGTCAAATTCAAAAAATGCTTGAAATAAATGCATATTTTTTAAATTAAATTAATTTAAGGCATGTTGCATGCTGTTTCGTGGTGATGTTGTTCCGAAGGATGTTAATGCTGCAATATCTCAAGTGAAAACCAAACGAACTATACAATTTGTCGACTGGTGTCCAACTGGATTCAAGGTTTCTCTGGTGTAAATAGATGAAAAGGAAAAATTTTCTGAAGAGAATCAGTGATTGAAAATCTTGCGGCTTTTAACTATGTTTGCATCAAATTTCGTTATCACATAAATTGATGAATAGCTTTTTCAATAGTAAGTAATTTCAATTTCAATAAATAATTTTATTAAGGTTGGTATTAATTATCAACCACCGACAGTGGTGCCTGGAGGTGATCTCGCGAAATTGCAGCGAGCAGTTTGCATGCTGTCCAATACTACCGCCATAGCTGAAGCTTGGGCTAAACTTGATTATAAATTCGACTTAATGTACGCCAAAAGAGCATTCGTCCATTGGTACAATTTAAAATATAATATAATATTTAATATTTAAAATATTAAAAATAATAGGTAAAAGTTTCTTTATTAAATATTACATTGCAAAAGCAAATTAAGGTATGTTGGTGAAGGAATGGAAGAAGGGGAATTTTCAGAAGCGCGAGAAGATCTTGCAGCATTAGAAAAAGATTATGAAGAAGTTGGTGCTGACAGCAATGATGGAGAGGACGACGAGGATGACGATTATTATAATCAATACTAAATATATTAAATATTTAGTTAAATGCTAAAATCAATGTAATATTGTTAGATTAGTCTCACTTGAAAAAATATTTTTTGAAGAAATGGCCTTCTAAAGACTTTCATAGAAGGTTTCTGAAAATCCCTTTGAAAGACCATTTTAAAAACTCCCTTAGTCTACTTTAAAAACCTCATAGAAAGACCATTTTAAAAGTGACTTAGTAAAACTTTGAAGGCCTTGGAAAGACCATTTCAAAAGCCCCTTAGAAATTAATTTTATGTGACTGTCAAAATTAAATTTAAATCTTTTTAATTAATTTTTAATACTCATAATGTAGTATAATACTTTCAGTTTATCTATTAGTCCTCTGTTTAGCTTTTTCTATAGTTAATGAATCTTTTCGCTGATTTTTTTGTTGATTTTATCATTAATCATCACAGAATCACCTGGGTTCAGGTGGATTATCATCAATTTTACTTTTAAAACAGATTTACTTATTTCAAAGCATGAGAACTGAGGAACTGAGCCTATATATTAGCTTAACTGATCATCTATTTTATTTTTTTACCACAAGGTTGTCAAGTTCACTTCATTCCCAATGCGAATCAGAAATTCTTTTTAGCTGCCAAAATAGCTATTGGCTAATTTTGCATTAGTTTCACCAAAGCTAATTTTAAAAATCAACTTCGTTATTGTTTCCATAATTTTTTCAAGGTGAACAATTCGTGTTATTTTTCGGTGTTATAACGCAGAAATCCAAATTTAAAAAATACGAATATTAATAAATTTAATGAATGCAAATTTAATGAATAGATTCACTGAACTTATAAAATTCTGCTCAAATGCAGAATTTTTGACGAAACATGCTAATGGCTAATGGTAGCTAACAACGTTCAAAGGTGAAATCTTGTTGAAATTTTAAAAAAACACCTCTAAAGATATTGGATATGCTCAAATTAAAATAGCATTTATTTTCGCATATTAATTTTTGGGGTAAAAATAGAAACTACTGATAAGGTCAAGTAATTGATAAGGTGTTTGATCAATCGATACGATAGTAAGTATAAAATATTGTCGGTCTATATGATGTTTTTCCTTCTTAGTGCCATTGTTTATATGGTCATTTCAGGTTAGACATTTATGTATTAAAATTATTTTATAAAATTATATAAAATTTATATATAGTTATATAAAATTTTTGATAAAGGCTATGATAAACGATGGTCATAGTTAGCGGTGGAGAAAATTTTCAACTTAAATAATGAACTTCGGTTTCACGATTTGTTGAAAAACTCTGTAAAAAACAAAGAACATATTTATTGAGGAATCATTTTTAAAGTAATTTATAAGTATTTCTCAATTAAATTTTAGATGGGTAAACTTGCGAAAAATCGCTATTAAGATTGCTTTTTTTGCAGTTAACATGATCGTTTCAAGTAAAAATACCGATATTTTACGAGTAATTCGACCAAATGACATTTTACAAGATTTACAAAATTTACGTGAAGTTAGGATTTATTTCTTTGATTCGATATAAAATTATAAAATTCCATAAACCATAGATACCATAGACTTACAATTAATATTTAATATGTAATAAATAATCGAGTAATCGAGTATTATGCATTATATATATATATATATGTAACGAGTTGATAAGGTTGATAAGGATATGGAGATATTCTTTCTAACTATCTTTCTATCCAGACTTCACGTCAATGAATAAATTTTGAATAAATTTTGAATAAGAATAAATTTTGATAGCATACTAGTCAAATGAATATACCATTGCAACTTTTGCAAAACATTTACCAATATTTTTTCAACATTTATGCGATCATCCAGCGATTATTTTTTAAAGAAGTGAATAATAGAATGCTTGAAATTTTTTTCAACCAATTTTTTTGGAACTGATTCTGCAAAAAAAGCTTTTTTTAAAAAACATTCATTTCTGGGTAAGTTCATTCCGCTGCCTTGTCGAACTGTATAAATTTTACAGGAAAACATTTGGCGATAGGAGTACAAAGAGTCAACAGCTGCTGCGAAAGTCCTCCGAAAAATGGCTCTCACTGAACCACTCTCCCATCCTTTTTATAAAAAAATAAACTAAAATAAACCATCCTTTTTATTGTTGTAATTCGGTTGTTTTGCAGAATTGTTCACACTTTAATGAGTCGCAGCTATCTTCTTACGTTCGATTTCGAGTGCAATTACCATATAAAATGCAACCATTCAAGGGAAAAAATTTATTTATTAATAATGGACGAATGCAAATTCGTTTAACCGATTATATTCATACAGATAGAGCAATAAATTTAAATCATCAACTATCATTCTTTTGGTCTTTTCTGGTGATTTTTACCACAATTTTATTCATCGCCATTGTTTTGGTTATGATTATACAATTTCGATATATAATTGATTATAAAGAAGAAGCGATTCCATTGATCAGTAATATGCTTCGACAATAAAAATGAAATGAAAAACTCTTTATATATATTTCTTAGTTTACAGATACCATTTGGCAAACACGGCAAATCTGAACGAAGCCTATTTTTGGGAGTTTGTAGAAAAAATTCCCAAAATAATAAGGGTTTATCCAATAATGGGCAGAGCGGGAAGCGAGGCATAAGTATACGGATCGTTGGGAGCATAGCTGAAGTTAGAGGATTTGACCACATAGAACACAAAAATTTTTTTCTGTTCTCTGTTTTGAAAAAAATTGATTGTGAACATCAATCCTAATTGGAAATCCCAGAATAAAGAGGAAAATAGTTGAGAAAAAAGGAATTTTTCCTTTCTCCTTAGAACATTTGTTAGGTTAAATTTGAGTAATTTTTGAAATATATAAAATTTTTCTCTAATAATTATAGTTTTTCTTATTTTCTTATTTTAAATCCCACAATATTAATATTTTGCTTTAAATTACATAATTTTTCTCAAGAAAGAATTTTTTGATGAGAAAATAAATATTTTCAAACTCATGTTTTTCGTTCATTTTTCAGCTTTCAATTCAATCTTTCTTTTCTTTCAACAGAATAATTCCCTTCAAATAAGAGAAAAATGGCGGGGTTGGGGAGGATTGGTGGCACAAAAATAAAATAAACAAGCTTAGGACGACAAAAGGACAAAAAATGAAAAATATTGAGAACCATTGTTATAGTTTAATTAGTCCATATTTATAAACATTAATAAAAATATTTATTTTGGAAATTAAATTTTTACATATTAGTTAAAATTTTCCCTGCGATAAATGTACGATTGCGATAAATTATACGAAAATTATTCAACAAGTTACTCAAATATGTTTTGGATGTAAATAAAATTGATATTAACAATCAATCTTTTTTTGATGAATTTTTAAAATTTCCAATTTCCAATTTAAAAGGAAATACAAAGGAAATACTCGAATTGAGTAAATTGCTATCATAAATAGCGAATAAAAATTGCTGCGATTCAATATCAAATATTCAAGAATTATTAAAACCAAATTGGCCAAATTAGAAGAAATTTTTCATTTATTATTCATGAATGAACTGATAAAAGAAGAATTTTAGAGGGTCTTAATCAAGTACGAATCATTCAGTGCTATAAGCTCACATATTAAAAGAAAATATATTATAGCAGTAATAGAATCAACACTGGAAAAGAGAAAATAGAAATGAACAAAAGCAAGAACGCGAAGGAGGACTTTGTGAAGCGACAATACGAGCAAAGGCAGCAAGTGTCAACAATTTTATTTGGAACCCGCCAGCCTCTTTTACGAAATTTATTGTCATAAAATCTTCGAGTCGTGCGACCTCTCGCCCTGAACCTTCTAAGATGCATATCCAAACAGTGTTCCTAAACTGAAATTGAATTAATTACATTCAAAGGATTTCAAAACTAATTTTAAAATGTGAAAAAGTAATTAGAATCATTTTAACAAAAGAATTTTTGTAGATAAAATTAATTCTTAGAAAGATTTTTTCTATGAATTTTTCTAGCAATTTTTTCATCCTAAAATTACCGAATGTTCATCTGCGATAGGCTTAAAAATTTAAGAAAATTAGATGAGCAAATTTTTGAAATTTTAATAAAAATACATAGAAATTTAGAAATTTTGCGACTAACCTTTACCTCACAAATAATTTTGTATTTAATGTTTTTTGCACAATTTTATATTTTAATTACACTTATGAAAATCAAATTGATTTAATTTTTCGACGATTAATTCCATTTTAAATTTCATTAATTTTTTTCTTGTTCCCTTTTTGCATTTAATCGAGTTTTAAAGAAATTTCAAACGCCAAAAACGTTTTAAAAAATATTTTTTTAAAATTTTAAAAAAATTTTGGAGATATGAAAATTTAAAAAAGTGTCTTCAAGTTGAAGAAATTTAAAAAAAACAAGAACTAGCAAAAACAAAAAAATTATATGAAAAAATAAGAAAGATCAAAAAATTTCCGATGGTACTGTTTCACCTAAATGTATCTAATTATTATCATCGGTACTTTATTACCATTATTATTATTACTATTGTTATTGTGGTAGTTGAAACCTGAAAAATTAAAACCTCAGATCTAAATTCTTCCTAAGTCTTTTAAAACTAAGTCATTTGTTTCACAACAAATAAGCAAAAATATTGTCCAAATAACCTTTCATTTTTTTCGACTGCAATCAATTTAGCTATTGTTTTCTTATCACTGTCTTCGAGTAAGAATGGATCACCTAAATAAAAATATATATATATATGTGAATTTTTTTCAACAAAGCAATGATTAATTTCGTAAAATCACTAAAGAAAACATTGGAAATAATAGGAGAAAAATAATATACTTATAGATTTCTTTCAAATTAGCATCAAATTGCTTGAATATTTGGATGAAAACTTTGAGAAAGTGTCAACAAACATATTAATAAAACCAAATTATGGAAAAGGAAATATTACCAGGAACAAAATATCCAAACAAATCGCCATTCCAATCTGTCAATTCTATTATTGGTGGCTCCGGCTTCTTCCAAAAAAAACAGCCATAACCTATATTTTCGGATATTAAAAGCACCGTCTTACCATACGATTCTAACACCCAATTAGATTTTGAGCAATCCGGTTCGAACCATATATCAAACAGTGGAAAGTCGATTGAATCTGTAACCTGAAAAGGACAAACAAGCATTATGAAATCCTTATGAAATCATTGAAGGGAAAAGAAAAAATAAAATGAAGAACTTGGAGATAACGTTTTAGCTTTGGCAAAAAAATTAAGATTAACTACAGCAAAATGGTAAAAATGCCTGAAACTCCATTCCGGTTCTTCGTATTCGTAATTGGCTCGCATCTGATAAATAAAAAAGAACTTGAGATTTGTTCGGCATCAAATATCGTTCATCTTTTTGAGAAAATTGCTCCTAAATATAGTAATTTGCTGATCATAAAAATATATGAAATAAACTGACACCATTTTTGCATTTATAGAACCTTCATTTTTCGACAATTTCAATAATTTAATTCATAAAAATAAATTAAAAATATTAAAGTTCGAAGCACATACTATTTATATAATGTAATAAAAATTATTTATATAAGTTCTAACACTAAGACAGATTTTCATTAGAAAATCTAACAGATATTAGGAAAAGAAGCTTTTTGATGACAAAAATCCAGCAAAAATTGGAATTGTCATTATCTTAAATCGATTTGCTAGCTGAATTACTACCATAACAAAGCGATAAGAATCAAAAAATTTGAAAAGTTAGAAATCGACAACTAATAATTTAAACATAGCAACATTAGATAAAAGTGGCGAAAATATTCGAATGCGGAGATATGCAAAATTTTAAAAGTAAATAAAAGAAAATAAAAGAAAGAAAAGGAAAGAGAATCATGAGAAATAAAAAAAATCCTAAGAGATACCAAAGTAGGACGTATCGGGCTTAGTGTTAACGACAAGAAATTACGATTAACCGATACAACAGGAAATAAAACCAAATAGGACCCGAATAATAATGTAGTACCAGCTCTGGTTTTGAATGATTAATTGAATTACTGAAGTTTGAAATTTTGAGTTTAAATGAACAATAACGAATTCATATTTTGAAACTGGAGATAGAGGAAGTAGGATTAAAAAATCATTAAATAGTTTTGATGAAAAAACTATGGCAAAAAATTAGGCGAATTCTGGAAGGAATTCTGGGGCTTTTCCACAAGGTACATCCTCGTCTCTTATAAGGTGGAAAAAAATTTCAGAAAACTAAAACGATAAAAAATATAGCTCACTAAAATCAGGAATAAGATCTTATATTATCTTACATAAATTATATCGTTAAGAACGAAAAGCAATCAATACGTTATCACTAATTCCACGAGGCATTTATATAAATGCTTTTATATAAAGCATTTATATTTATATAAAGTAGTAACACTGGCCGATCTAAATTTGGGCAGTATAATATTTGAAGAACAATGATGAAAGTATGACAGATAAGGAATAATGAAACGAAGAATTACGATTAATTTCTTTTCGAAATGCCGAATTTTTAGAAAACTTTCTGGTTAGGCTTGCTACGCTGGTTTGCCAAGCGAGTTTTGACAGGGATTCAGTTGATGATAGTATCTTCCTTCAATGTAGTACGTATTAAACTGTATTTAAATTTTCCATGACACTTTCACTCCTCCTATTATGGGAAATCAGATAATCAAACTAATAATGCTCAACGTTGGTTGATCTAAGCAACCAATTCTTACTTTTCTCATTTCGCTAATAGCCAGTGAAACGAGCCGAAAATTTGATTGGAATGCTAACCGCTTATGACAATTTTTCTTTTTCAAAAAACTATACGTAGCTGCACTAACTATTTGGGTGTTATAAGTTTAGATGATGGTTTCAGTGGAATCGTTTGAGAATAAAGGCAGAAATGATTGCCCAGCAAGAAACCAAGATGCAATTTTTTTAGAGTGAGAGCGATAATTTTTTGGTCTAATTTATTATAAACGAAATCAAACGCATTGATAAAGACGAGTGGAATAAATTAAATCGATTGGATGGTGAATGAAATTCTCTATAGATGACCCGTGTTGCACGAAACAACTTACCAGGCTATTTTCATTCTCAGTTCCAGAATCATCATTTAAATCACCGGATGGCATGATTGACGAATTACATTGTAACGGTTCATGATTATCTGCAATAGCCATATTGCATTCTATTGGCATAAGTTGATTAGCATTTAATCTTTCTAATGACTGCATCGTTGAACGAATTTGACGCATTTCTGGAAATTCATAGACAGTCATACTAATTAATATTAGTAATAATAATATTAATCGATCAAATAAATTGTTCATTTATTAGTTCTTCGAACGGAAAAAATGGGCTTCTGCATATGATTGTTTCAAATATGAATTAATCAGTTGGAGCTTCGCCGTTTAAATCACCAATTGTTGAGGGGAGGAAATCTCATCGCCACATTCAAGTGCGGAATCATTTTTCTACTTTTATTTCTAAATATACACTGAATGATTAGAAGCTTTCTAGCAAAAGGATTTCACAAATTTTTGGGCTCATTTAGTTGGCTAGATAATTTCTGCTAGGGAATCGTTGCTGAATTAAATATGCAGATGAATCGCAAAGCATCACTTACTGCTGAATGCAGCCAACTAAATCAGGAATGGTATTTTTAGAAGAAATATTGCATATAAGAAGATTAAGATTAATTCAATTTTCTAAAATATTTGGATAATTGAAAAAGAAATAATCCCTATAATTTTGCATAAATCACGATTTTTCCAATCAAGAAAGAATCTCAGTTCTCTACTTCCGTTGAAAGGAGTCGACTTTCGAGTTCGTTTCACGATCAAAATATTTGGATTAAACTTTTCTTAGCTCAACTCTTGCTTAATCTATTATATTCTTGTTAATTTGCTTCATATGGCTGTTTAACTGGATGTTCGCACGAAAAATATTCATTACTCTTTACGAAAAGTAAGCCATCCAAAAGTTCTATCATTATTGCAACCAGAAGGACCTTTAAAATATTGAATTTCTTAAGTAAACACGAAAAGTATAAAAATTTTTGCGTATTTTTACAAAATTTGGTTGCAGAAAAACTTTATTTCGAAATCAAACAATGGCAACAATGAAAGAAGATAGAACGGCTCAACGGGTTGTTGCTGCTCTTTTATTTCGGAGCACCTGTTTTTCAAAAATCCAGACAGTGCTGATGAATAACTTATACTTCAACCAAGTACGAAATCTCTCCCGCGAAATTTGCGACAAGGTGCCAGCGGACTCGAAATGGTCAACATTTTCAAAAAAATGTACTTCTATAAATTTATTCCTAGCCATAGAGAGTTACCTAATCACCATATCTATCCTTCCTATCGATGGTAAATTAGAAAACACCATTTACTAAAGTAAACATAGCATTCTTATTGGTAAAAAATGAAAAGTTTATAAGCGATTATTTGCAATCCATGCAAACGTGAAGAAAGGAATAATTTGAGAGTAAAGGCTGCTCATTTAAAATGCATTGTTTAAAGAATACGAATATATTTGTCGTTTTAAATATTTAAGCGTTCTCCAAAATTTCCTTGAACATTTCTGTCAAATGAAAATTTTACGAAAAAATTTAGAGGATTCCCTAATATAATATTCCCTAATTTTTTTTCTCTGCATTTTTTTCCTTTTTGAATATTTAGAATTTTTCTCATATATACAATTTACAATTACAATTGGAATTTACAATTAACGCAAATTATGAAAAACTGCTAATTTGTCAGTTGAAGGAATTATTATTTATGAATTTAAGATTTTTGACCGATAAATAAAGCGTTTTTAGATTTTTCAATAAAAAATTGGAAAGAAAATATTTTTTTTGTTCATATGTTTATGAAATAAGTATCTTCAAAAAAATTTCGAACAAAAGTTAATTTTATCTGATTTTCAAAACGAATCCATTTTTATTTATAGAACTGGAAAGTGGAATAGCTCAATGGCTTGTATGGCTTTTCGACGCGCCGAACAGCTGGGGTTCTACTAAATCGTGCAAAAATCCCAGCGATTCTGGCGACTCGGCCGTACTTCTATCGCTATTAATTTCTTAGCAAAATTTATCGGGCTGGCAGAATCAGTGGAGGCAGAAATGAGTGTTATTAGTAAAAAGCAATAACAAAGAATTGTTAAAATAAAGTAAAAATTGCAGCAATTTGCTTTTAAAAATTACAAAAATCATTTGAACATTATTATTCATGCAGGAAAGATTAATTGTTCTTTTTCTAATGATAAGGACGGCCAGTGATAATTACTTTACTGACAAAAATAGTGATTTTGAGTAAAAATCCAAAGAAAAGTATAAAAATAAAATAAAATCAGTCGTGAAAATCAGTGTTTACGACATTTAAAAACAGGAATAAAGAAAAAAAACAATGAATTTTAGACGAATAAAAATAATACAGAAAAATAATATCGGAATAATTGAGGAATGAAAATCATTGAAAAGGTAGATTTAAAGACTTAAAACTTCATTTCGAACCTCAAATATTTAAATCGATCGTGCAAATTGATGGCATTTGAAAATTGAAGAAATGAATTGACAAGATGCAAAATGACAGTGATTTAGCCCTCCGAGAGAGAGCTAATAGCATTTTTCCTATCCCATCCTATGTGTAGACTCTTATACTGCATCCCTCTAATATATCTTCATTTCCTTATGATTTCCCACTATCTTTCAATTTTCTTCAGCTAAGCCATCCATTTTAATCTCTTCCAATCTGTCTTAATTTTTCAAATTTATCCTTAATTTTAAGATCTATTTTATAAATTTTCTCTAGATTAATAAAATTTTTAATACAATTTTTCATTATTAATCAATTTTGACAGAAATTTTCTAGAGTTTTCTCAAAATCTTTCTAAGAAAAAATTTTTCTTTCAAGAATTTTTTTATTAAAAAAATTTAAATAATAAGGGTAAGAAAAATAAAACAAAATGAACAATTTCCTAACTAATATAGAGCAAGAAAGAAGCAACAACGCTGCTAATATAGACCTCTAAAAAAAAGAAATCTGATTTATTTTCAAAATCATTTGAACATTATTATTATCATGCAGGAAAGATTTTTATTTAATTGTTCTTTTTCTAATGATAAGGATGGCCAGTGATAATTACTTTACTGACAAAAATAGTGATCACAAGCCTCCAGAAGTTACCCAAACAAAGCTAAACACTGATAATTTTGCTTAGTTAGTATCTAAAACAGCTAGAAACCACCATTATTGATAAAAATTATGATAGCTATGTCTATTGATAAAAATTATTTTTTTCTACAGCTCTCACTATTTCGGTTTATTCTTCACAGAATCTAATCGAGATAAAAATTATTAACCATTAAAAGAAAAAAAAAACTTCGAAATGGAAAATAGTTGGCCACAAATGTTAATTTACATTTATAGAAAGGCGTATTTGATACAAGAAAATAGCATTTTTCATGAAAAACGACTCAAACAAAAGGATTGAATTTCACTTCATTGCACATTTGAATTATTAATAATTCACAAGTTTTTATTTGATTCATTAAAATATTTCGTTTTATACTACAACAGTTTTGTTAATTAATTAATAAGCTTGGATTATTTTCTATTAAAAATGCTTTAATAGATATTTTGCACTGAGAAATTTTATATTTTCAATAATTTTCATGTCAAAATCTTCAGATTTATTAAAATGTTTTTTGCTTTGCACTTTTTTCTTTTCTTAAATAGGGCTGTAACCAAGAGTTATTGAATGGCTCAGTTGGTCTCATCTCGAAGAACTGATACTGAGGTTCCACTATCCGCAGGGCTAGCATTATCTTTTAAAAACCAAGTTAATACAAAGTAACGCATTTTTCCTTCTATCGCCAAATGACTTGCTGATAAACAATAATTCTTTCATGATAACCATATGTGTAATAATAATTTATTATACATATGGTTGAAAAAAACCAAGATTTGCTAATGAGTTTGGCTGATTATTGCCCTTTCTGAGTTATCATGTAGAAGTATGGCAGAGCCAAATGGTGTCGTCATATGTTTGCCAAATTTCGCGTTTAACTACAGGTTTATTCCTGTCAAAGAATGGCAAACATTCAACTTCGTTCGTTCTCGACATCTGAATTATTCATTAACAGCCATCATACTCAGCCATCGTATATAGTAAATCGAATAACTAAAAAAATTCTAAACCCTTCCAAAGACATTCATCCCACAATTAGGCAAATTCAGTTCATGTATTTCTTTTCCGAAAATTCAATAGTTGCAATCTCAATAAAACAATAATTCTTTCATATTACACATTGTTGGAAAATAGATAAAATAAGCCATTCGAATGAATGATGGATGGACGAATGGTACGAAATACGATATGAAGAAAAAGAAGAACCTCCGATCTTAGCTAAACGAACTAGAAAACGATGAAAAAAATCTCTTTCAGTAATAATTGGACGAATATTTCAAAAAAAAAATTTGTAAATTTATTTGTTTCTTAGTGAAATCCTTAAGTGATTGGAAAAATTTGATTGAAATATTTAATGAATTATTTATTTATTAAAGTTTATTGGCCTTAATTGAATATAAAAAGTTATCATAAATTTTATATAGCTAAAGCTAAAATAAAGCTTAATAAATTTTAAAGTAGTAAATAATAAATAAATTGCAAGTGAGTGACGGATTTCATTAAAATGACGACAAATAAAAATTTTTTATAGGAGGTTATGGAAGAAATCCATCTATCGTCTCTTATCCCATATCAGCTCATCTCATCACCTCTCATTTAGAGCGACATTCGTAGGAAAGTACCAATGAAAAAATTATTTTTTACATAATTTTCTTGTTCAAATTTGCCGGAATACCTGAATGACATTTTAAAAGTGTTAAACGAATTTTTCATCGATATTCCCATGAAAAATAAGGAATTCTATTTGCTAGAAAATAAGAATTACGAATTTCCATAATTATATAAACGAAAGGCATTAAATAATAAACGAATAAAAGTTTCCTTCGAAAATTTCTTTCAGAAACAAAAAAAATTTTCGTCTAAACGAAGAAAATGCTAAATGATTCAAGAAGTTTAATAAAATTTAATATGACATACTGAGAAAAAAATATTTCATAAAATTATAATCCATAATCTAAAAATGAATGTAAAAATTTAAAATTCAATAAAAAACAAAGAAAGCCTCAAAAAATGAAAGAAGAACGCCGCTTTTATTTCTCGCCGAGGTTTTCGGTAAGAGCGA